CACTTGGGTCAACTCAAATCAAGCAAATCTGCCAAACCAACTTAATAATTTATGATAATTGGTGGCAAATCCTGCCTACTGAGCTAAATAAGAGTACGTTATTTAAGCTACTGGTGGATGAAAGTATAATTCAACGAAACAAGGAATCGAGCCTTTAGACAAGGAATATGTAATACTTTTGACGAGATAGTTGCGCTTTACATACCAAGTCCCTATCCGTGGTTCTTAGCCTTTAAGACTACTTTATTTATAGCACTAAATGCCTGGAATAAAAATAATTTCTAGGAACTAATGCAACTGTCAGCAGTTTCTACCACTCTCTTAACATTAATGCAATCTGCATTAATCACGCTCTCGCGGCATTTTACTTGAGCCTGGCTATAGGAATATTACCGAAATGATTCTAGTGGATGGAAAGAACCCATTTTGCTATTGGGCTATCGCCCTCAAGCTCTATGAAACATTATAACCTTTTCTTGCTGACTATAGTAGCCCTGCCCTTTGTCATGCGCTTTTGAAGTAAATGCCGAAATGTTTCTGTGTGGTCTGGACAATGATTCTTCAGAATGATGACAGTTGCGCTAACCTATGTTTCAAAAAACTATTACAAATTTTTTGTATTTTACCTGACATGACATTTCACGTCGTTTTTTCAATTGATATTTCCTTAGGGAATATACGAATAGTTATCTCTGTGGTATGGCGGCCTAGTTGCGCTTACGGAATTCAAATAGCGTAGAACTGTTTCAAATAATCCAAAACAAATACTTTTATTTTCAAAGTTAGCGGTGACCTCCCGGCAGCTCAAGCCGTAGTGCGTCTGACGGATTCGAGACTGGACATGGCTCAACTTCGCCCCTACGGCAAAGTCTTTTGTTTCCTGTAACCAATATGTATATGGAGTCTGCCATACTGAAAACAAAAAACCAAACACCAATGAATTGCTTCAGGCACGGTAGCGCTTTTTGCTTCCGCATATATTCGTTTTTGAAGACTAGTTGGGTAAAATAAATTATCAAAAGCTACCAACAGCACATTGTAAACCCATATTCATATTTTTCGCTTTTAGCCATTGAAAAAATACTGCATAGTAAGTATTGTGGAATTGTCTGCCTATATATACTTGAACCCTTTGAATTTGGTTCACAGTGTAGAGATGATTCACGGCACAGCTTCCTCAACTCCTCTTATAAATCTGAATTATTTCTGTTTATACCACGGGCTTTAACTTCATAAATATAAAATTTACAAAAGTGCCGAGGTATGTATGATACTTATCGGATTTTTGACTTTCCAACTTGTGAAACATGTATACTGAACATTCAAAATTGGGAAT